AGACTCATATATTACCCCTTTGTGAGGTAGAAAGGTAGTTTCAAAATCCTCACGCAAGCAAATTTTTCAATCCGTGTCTAAAAGTAATTCTCTTTTGCTTCCAACAATCATACTACTCTCATACAACATCTTTGGCAAGATTTATAACATATGATGTAAATATTTCGAATGTTATTGAGAATAAGTAGTTAGTTTGTTAGTTAGTTAAGTTTATGTTATGTAACTAACTCTGTCAGTTGTATTAGTTTGTTAGAGAATGCACAATGTGTGATCTATGTGTGATCTATATAAGGAGCACATTCTCCTTTATTGTAATCAATCAGAAATAAAAATCCTCTTTCCTTTCTTCTTTAATTCATATGTTCCTTCTATAACTGCTTACATGGTATCAGAGCAGCGACACTGGGATTGTCCTTCTAGCTGCGTACAAGTTCTGTAATCAGATTCAAAATCGTTCAAATAACTCTCAATAATGCCAGAGTTAACAGTCACAACTCTCGAACATAATCATCCTTTGTATCTTCATGCATCAGACATGCCAGGTACTGCATTGATTGCAGTAAAACTCACTGGTCCAACAAACTATAGCTTATGGAGTAGATCACTTCGTCTTGCATTATTGGTGAAAAACAAGCTTGGATTTGTTAATGGATCCTGCTTGAAAAACTCCTACAAAGGAGAATTAGTTGCTCAATGGGAAAGGTGTAACGTTGTGGTGCTTTCATGGATTAGTAGCACTGTGGCTCAGGAATTGATCACTACGATCGTGTATGCTTCAAATGTGAAAAGAGTGTGGGATGACTTTAAAAAAAGATTTGACAAGTCCAATCTTACTCGAGTTTATCAGCTTTGGGCAGAGGTATCTTCTCTTAAGCAAGGTACAGACTCTGTCACAGTCTATTATTCGAAATTGAGGGATTTATGGGATGAATTAGATGTGCTAGTTTCTTCTCCTTTGTGTAGTTGTGATAAGGCTAGGCCTTACATTGATCATCTCAGTCAATAAAGGCTGTTGATGTTTCTTATGGGCCTGAATGAGTCATATAGTCATGTAAGGAGTGATATATTGCTTAAATCTACTGTGCCTACTGTTAATCAGGCATATGTCATAGTCATTCAGGAGGAAAGTCAGAGATTACTTGGTGTTGTAGACATTAACAAAGAACCTCTTACTATGCTAGTTAATAAAAGGCAAGGTTTCAAGGGGAAGAGACCATTATTTGACACTGTTTGTGAGCACTGTGGGTATAAGAATCATCTCACTAAGAATTGCTATAGAATCATAGGCTATCCTGCAGATTTCTAGAGTAAGAGGAAATTGGGACAAGGTGTTGCTCCAGGAGTTGAAAATGGTTACAGGTCTCATAATCCTGCTCCTGCAGGGTCTGCTGCAGAGTCTACTGGCTTCAAATCCTATGCAAATTTTTCCTTCACTGAAGAACAAGTGCATGGATTCAATCTCACCGAAGAGAAGTATAATCATGTACTGAATCTCAGACACAACAATAATCTCACAAACACTGGGAATGATGGTGAATGCAAGGCAAACCTAGTAGGTAATGTGTCCTTGACATCTGATTATTCTGAATATAGCTGGATAATTAATTCAGGTGCAACTCACCACATTACATCCTCTAAAGACTTGTTAGCTGAGATGAGTAGTATAGCTGATCATAGGTCAAATACTGTGCAATTACCAACAGGAAAAAAGACACCCATTACTCACACAGGCAACTCAATAATTCTTGGGAGATATATAGTGAAAAATGTGTTGCATGTGCCTAACTTCAAGTTTAACCTGTTATCAGTTGCCACACTGACCAAAGATCTGTTATGCAGTGTTAGTTTTTTCCCTAACTTCTGTGTGATGCAGGAGCTCTCCAATGGGAAGGTGATTGGGATTGGTAGAGAACGTGGTGGTCTTTACTTGTTGAAAGATATAGTGCAAGCAGTAGCCAATGCTGCAGTAAAAAATGATAGACTAGCTTCTTTGTGGCATATGAGACTTGGCCATCCTTCTCTTTCTGCTATGCAACATATCTTTTCTCTTAAAGGACTTATACTTAACCAACAATGTTGTCATGTATGTCCTCAAGCCAAGCAATGTAGACCTGTTTTCCTTCCTAGTTTACATAAGTTTAGTACTATTTTTCAGCTTCTGCATGTAGATGTATGGGGTCCCTATAGAACCCCCACTTATGATAGAAAGCAATACTTTGTTACTATAGTAGATGACTACAGCAGGTTCACTTGGGCCTGTCTTATTCAATCTAAGGTTGAAGTTCAATCTGTACTAAAGAACTTCTTAATAATGATAAACACTCAGTTTGGTTTGAAAGTGAAAGTGTTAAGAACTGACAATGGTACTAAATTTCTGAATTCCAAATGTAAAGAATTATTCTCTTCTCTTGGAATTGTGCATCAAACGTCTTGTTCTTACACACCCCAACAGAATGGGGTGGTTGAAAGAAAGCATAGACACATACTAAACACTGCTAGGGCCTTGAGGTTTCAGGCTGCTATTCCTATTTCATACTGGGGGCATTGTATTAAGGCAGCAGTTTATTTGATAAATAGAATTCCATCAGCAATGCTACAAGGTAAATCTCCACATGAACTACTCTATGGCTCTATTCCTGACCTAGATCATTTGAGAGAGTTTGGTTGCCTTTGTTTTACATCAGTTTTGCCCAGAATCGATAAGTTTGCTCCAAGGGCAAAGAAAGGAGTCTTCATGGGATATGCAGAAACACAAAAGGGGTATAGAATATTGAATTTAGAGCCTCATTCTTTTCATGTTAGCAGGGATGTGAGATTTGTAGAGAATCAGTTCCCTTTTCAGTCTGATTTCAACCCTCAGCTTCCTGAATTGTTTTATTCATCTTAGTCACCACAGTCTGAGTTTTCTCTGGATCCTGTCACTGATAAGCATCCTCCAGCACCAGTTGTGGACTTGCCAGATATTGAAGTAGAAGATAACATACCTGGTCATACTGAGTCTATGGATACAGTGTCAATTGATGAAAATGATCGGGAAGAGGTCACAATGGCATCTCCAGAAAATTGCCATATTGTACCAGTTGCAGAACCTGCTGTTGAAATCTCTGAACATGCAAGGCCAAATAGATCCCTTAAACCCCCTATTTGGCATAAGGATTATATTATGCCCAATCCTTCAAGACAAGCTCACACTGCATGCCTTTATCCTATTGCTGATTATGCAGCATATTCAAAAATCAGTTCTCCCTATAAAACTTTTCTAACTGCTCTTTCAAATGTATCTGAACTTGTTAGTTTCAAAGAGGCCTCCAAATGCAAGGAATGGGTTGTTGCAATGCAAGAGGAGATCAGTGCATTAGAGCAAAATCACACCTGGTCTGTAGTGGATCTCCCACTTGGCAAAAAGGCTATTGGATTTAAATGGGTGTACAAAGTTAAGCTTTAGGCTAATGGTCAGGTTGAAAGGTACAAAGCCAGACTAGTTGCCAAGGGGTTCAGCCAACGGGAGGGTCTAGACTATCATGAAACTTTTTCACCTGTAGCTAAGATGGTCACAGTCTGGACTGTTATTAGTGTAGCAGCATCACACAACTGGCCTCTTCACCAAATGGATGTCCATAATGCCTTCTTGCAGGGTGATCTTCTTGAGGATGTTTATATGGACATGCCACAAGGTTTTCAGAGGCAAGGGGAGTACAAAGTGTGTAAGTTGCTGAAGTCTTTATATGGACTAAAACAGGCCTCAAGACAATGGAATCTAAAGCTCACTGAGGTCCTCCTAGATGTTGGTTACTCACAGAGTCCATATGATCATTCCCTTTTACAAAAAAGGATGGACAAGAGATAGCAGTGATTCTCATATATGTCGATGATTTACTCATCACAGGTAACAGCAGTAAGATGATACATGAGTTTAAAGGACTCACTTCACAATAGGTTCAAAAATGGAAAAGACCTTGGTAATCTTAAGTATTTTCTGGGCATTGAAGTCACGAGGTCTACAACAGGCATGCTTCTCAATCAGAGGAAGTATGCCCTTGAACTTATATCAGACACTGGTCTGAGTGGTGCCAAGCCAGTGAGCACACCATTGGAAGCAAATGTCAAACTTACAACAGTAGAATATGATGAGTGTTGTGTAGTAATTTAACTAAAATTTAGAAAAATCACTTTTTGAAATGTTCTAAGTATAAAACAATTTGAGAAAAATACTTAGAAAAGAGTCGCCAACTTAATTTTTTTAAAAAAGAAATTAAGAAAACTTATAAGTTCCAAAGATTTAAACAGAAAAAATCATTTGAAAATACCAAAGAGGGTTCAGGGTTCAATTTACACTTCGAGAAGGGTTTAAGCATTCGAAGTGCCCGCTAACATGCGGTTGACCTGCGATTTGACTAAGATATATTTTGACTATTTTTAGAAAAATGATTTAACATAAAAAATAATACTTTATAAAATGTGATTAACTTGAAAAAAATAATTAAATAAATGACACATTATATTATTTTATTTTTTAGAGAAAGGGATCCAAAAATGGAACATTTGACTCGAAATACAAGTGGTTAGAATTTTGATAAAACTAGTTTAATTAAAATTTACTTGACTCATTTTTAAAAAATAATGATTAAACTCAATTGGTAAATTTAAGCATGAAAACCATTTTTTATTAATTGAAGAAACAAAATTTCGACTAACCTTTTTGAGAAAATGATCGAGTATGTATATTTTTATTTTTATTTTTATTTTGTTATTATTATTATTTTTTATTTGATTACAAAAAAAAAGACTTACATTTTCCAAGTTTATTTGAGAAAAAAAAACACTTAAACATAAAACATTTTAAAATGAGTAAAAAAAAGTGATTTGAGTGAAAAGTGTTAAATAACAAATCTTTTTAAGAACAACGATTTAACTTAATTAAAGATATAAAAATTGATTGGTATTTGATTAGTAAAATAAATGACCACAACACAAAAAGAATATTTAAAACAAACCAACACTAAGAAAATAACTCATCTTTTGAGGGATCTAATTAAGTTAATTAAAATAAATTATAGTTAGAGTTAAATAAAATTAGTCAAGCATAAGCAAATCAATTAAAAGAGTAAAAGATATCAGGAAATTGGGCCCCTTTTTGGGTCAATTTCGCTGCAAATTTTGAACTATTTCAATTCCCGTTTTTGCGTATACACTGAGCGTATATCAGTGTATATGAGCGTATATATTAGCTCTTTTCATGTATCTCTTGCTTCCGAACACCTGTATTTCGCCTCATCTCTGTATTTTTGCATTTTTGACCTGTAATTCGCTGTATAACGAGTGTATACTGCTGTATACAATATGTATACAACTCATTTCTTGGGCTTTGAATTAATTTTCAGCAAACATGATGGGCCTCCAGGACCTGTAACAGCTTCCGAATGCATAGAGGTTGCCTCAAAAAAATAGGGAAAGCATTGGGTTTCAACCCCAACTCAAAATACAAGGCAAAGAGGAGTCTGAAGAACTTGATCCGAGGGAATTTATGCAAAGAGAATAAGAAGAAAACGATTAGTAAGGAGGAATGGATCATAACGAACCAATACAAAAAGATGAAATAAAATGTCACCACATGAAGACAAAGCACAAATTATAAATTCACAATAGTAAACTATTACTGTAACTAGATGTTTTCTTCCTAAAAAAAAATCTATAATTAAAGTTAATTGAGGTGCCAAATAAAATCGTTCAAAAAAAACAACATTATGGTCAGGATTACCAAGGATCTACAGGTGCAATTTTATAGTCGAGAAGATAATAACTCGGGTAAGGTAACAATTTCGTCAAGACGCCTTCACTATATCACTTACCAAAACTTCGACAACAAACACTCATTAAACTTTCCTAAGGCTACAAATGTGTAATAAACCTACTAAACCAAGCAATGGTGTAATAAACATCATACATAAGGCTACATAAATTTGATAAACACTCGTTAAACCTTCCTAGGCAATCATGAGCAACATATGTGCCTGAAACTTTACAGCATCTACATGAGAATATTACTAGTGCAAGCCCCGGATAAATATATGTAATGCGATGCCGAGAAGTTAATTTGGGCCACTACAATTTTTACATCTCCAAGAAAATCCAAAAGTAGTGTATATTCAACGAGTAATGGCTACCAAATATATAGAAGGGTTGACTCGAGAAAAGGGTAAAATTGAGCCTTTACGGCTCATCTCAACGATGTAAGAGAGAGGTCCACCATGGACTCGGAAGGGGTGAGTTCATACAAAAGAAAACAAAAGCAAAGCAAGCAACATATGGCTAAAGGAATATGGATTTGAACATAATTTTCAACCAAATTAAACACAAGAGGGATTAACAAAACTACTGACCATTTTAATAAAATGGGTAGCACACTATTTAATGCACATACCCAGACAATAATTTGTTCCTTTTAGCCAAATTGAAGAAAATGATACAAAATGCAGTGAACTAAGTATGCTGTAAAAAAAACGTGAATGGGGACAGCACCGTTCGAAGCGAAGGTGGTAAACATCAAGACACGGATTTAAGAAAAATAAAACACCTATGAATTGAATGAAGAGAAAACCAATGGGTATTTGATTTTGGAAAGGCTTAAACACTACTTAGATATTTGAATAAGATGACTATTATCCAAGATCTAGCCATGACAAATAATACCAAATATTAACCACAAATCTAATGCATCACACCAAAGCAAGGAAAGATAGAATTTCAACAGAAACCATAAACATTTTATGCTAAAAAATGTATGACCTTTAAGCATGGATAATGAAGTGAATTAACACTAGCAACTCTAACCAAGGAATAGAAAAATAAAGTAAAAATGGCATGTTTGTTCCAAGTGTGAAAATCGTAGCAACTCATATATAAGATACATATGGAACGAAGCATTAACAATCATTGCTTGGCACATTCAAACGAGCCCAACGAGAGTCATATGAACACCAACACTTCGAAAATAAAATAAAACAATGTGCTGCATATAGGTATGAACTAGAGATGGCCATGGGCTAATTTTATTCCAAATTATCCTTTAGGATTCTGCCAAATGCAAGATATATATATGATCAATACATGATGTGAAATACGTGAGCGGAAATTTTTTAAACTGGATATGGACAGATTTTGAACATGCTTTAAAGAATGGAAACCATGTATCCACAAAAAGTTAAAGATGTAACAACATAATTCGTTTGGCGCCCTCCAAACATATAACATGACAACAAACATTATTTCAACAATGAGAATAAGGCAGTAACATGGCGCTTAATAAGTAAATAGACTAAACCTTGAAGCAAACATCACAACCACGAGTCCGAGAAGACCCCACAAACTCGAATGATATTAGCTCATCTCGAAAACGAAATATGCATCACTAATTTCAGAGCTAAGACTCAAACAAATCAAATACGGGTATCTTCGGAATACTACATCATTTCTCCACACTTAATTCAAAGTGAACAAAAGGGATACGAGTTATTTACCTTTTAAGAAGCAGAGAACCGAGACAACGAGCAGGGGAGCGATTTCCACGATTCTCCTACCACACTAGTTCAGACTCGAGCAGACCAAAGGAAACAAATAAAATTGAAACCAAGTGACCTTTTGTAAGCTATTTTCGTATGTGAAATATTGCCCTCAAAATCCGATCTTTTTCTTCCGTTTTCTTAATCACTGAGGGAGAGAACTATATATAGGAAAAAATGGAGCAACTTTGGGGGGGGTGGTGAATCCGTTGGAAAATTTCAAAAGAAAATTTGAATTTTCCTTTGCTCCATTCGAGATCAACAGTGAAGGGGGATGGGAAAAAATAGTGACTTCCGCTAAAGGGGGAAAATGGGACGTGAGGGTTTGACATTGGGGATGCTAAGGTATGGGTTTGGATGAGATTTTCAGGTTTGCAGCGCGATTTGCTCGTTGAATTTCGATCTTCCCGTGAAGAAGAAGAGCGTGATGGACAGTGGTGGGGTCGTCTGGTTTGGGCGTCTGCTGATGGGATTTTGGTTTCTGGATTTGTTTTGGAATTGCTGTGTGATTGTATGTATGTATGGTTTTGCTGGAAATAACTTGGGTGGGCTGGGAATGTTTTGGAATTGCTATTGTATTGTTGTTGCTTCCTGATGGGTTTTTATTAGAGTTGGGCTTGGGAAATTGAATTGGTCTGCTGCTAAGAATTGAGAATTGGAAGTAAAGGAATTTGGGTTGAAAGAATTGGGTCCAAAAGATAACCAAGAATGTGGTTGATTTGAATTAAGAAAATAACCGCGTAAAATTGCAATTTCGATCAAATTGAGGCACTTGGTTGAAATCGGCCAAAATTAAAATAAGACGAATTAATATAATTAACTAACGAGCTTCTTAATCTCAACGAAGTAAAATAATAAAATTAATAAAACTTTAAATGACTCAAAATTTGAACCATATTTTAAAACGTGAAATCTTTTGTGGCTTTCAAATATTTATAAAATATACTAATTATATAAATATAAAGACATATTTGTTATTTTTAAAAAAAATTATAAAATTGATAAAAATTACATAAAAGAAATAACTTGAAAATATTTTGGATTTAATAAAACTAATTAATTCAACGTTATATCCATCACTTTTAAAATAAGCTATTTTAATAAATATAAAAGAAAAAGAAATCATTTTGAGATGATTTTCTACTATTCATAAAATGTATACAACATATATTATCTTAAAATTATAATAAATGACAAATTTTGTTCAAACTAACTCGCAAATTATTTTAAATTTTATAAAAATTAATTATTTTAAATCGTTTGAAATTTAAGAAGCTTGATGATTAATTTAAATTGTGGGAGGACAAAATTGGGTGTCAACAATGAGTTAACTGGGACTACTAATGATCTTGTGTACAAGGATGTCACAGTTTATCAAAGGATGGTTGGTAGATTACTATATCTTACCATTACCAGGCCTGACATTAGTTTTACAGTCCAGGTTTTATCACAATTTATGCAAATACCTAAACTCTCACATTGGGAAGCAGCTCTGAGGATAGTCAGTGATGTAGATCAAAGTGACACTACTTCAAGGAGACCTTTCACAAGGAGTCAAGCTAAGGATCTTCAAGCATTGCAAGCTTTATGGATGAAGATGGAACCTTTGGAAGACACTAACATGGAAGACTTGAAGATATTTAATATATTAAGTACCTTACCATTTTAATTACCTTGTAATTTTAATGAAGGGCAATTGAGTCTTTCTTCACTATTTTAGTTTTAGTATAAATAGTAGATATTAGGGTTTCATAAGTAGTTTTGGACATGTTATGCCTCTTGTGAGAGTTTGGAAGCCTTTTGTTGAACTTCAACATTTTGTCCTAGAATTTGCAAATAAGATTATTACTTTCTTGAGGATTCTAATAGATTAGGTGCTTTTATTTCCCAATTAAGTGGTGTTTTTGGTTAGTTTCACCATTACATCTCTTAGTTGTTTGAATTTAATTGTGTCTATCTCTTTTATCTAGCTTTTTTTTATTTCTATTTTATTTTTATCTTCTTGTTTCACATCAATATAGCATCATTAGCTTATCATAATATCTGATAGACTTAGTCCTCAAATCAACAGCTTCAGGCTTAGCCTACATATGAAAAGGCTTGGAACTTGAAGCATTTTGCGACTCAGACTGGGCAGCATGTCCAAACACAAGAAGGTCTGTGACAGGTTATATGGTTAAACTAGGGGATTCACTGATTTCCTGGAAGTCAAAAAAGCAGCACACAGTGAGTAAAAGTTCTACAGAGGCTGAGTACAGGAGTATGGCTGGTGCAGTAGCAGAAATTACTTGGCTGGTTGGGGTGTTGAAAGAATTGAATGTGCAGGTTACAACTCCTATAAGACTGTATTGTGATAGTAAAGCAGCACTACAAATTGCAGCTAATCCTATTTTTAATGAGAGAACTAAACACATTGAAATAGACTGCCATTTTGTAAGGGAAAGGATCAAAAGTGGACTTATACAACCTACTTATGTCAATACCAAACAACAGCCAGCAGACATATTGAAAAAGGGTCTAGGAGCAGCTTCTCACCACTTGCTACTGTCCAAGCTTGGAGTCTTCAACATATACTCAGACTAAAGCTTGAGGGGGAATATTGAGAATAAGTAGTTAGTTTGTTAGTTAGTTAAGTTTCTGTTATGTAACTAACTCTGCCAGCTGTATTAGTTTGTTAGAGAATGCACAATGTGTGATCTATATAAGGAGCACATTCTCCTTTATTGTAATCAATCAGAAATAAAAATCCTTTTTCCTCTCTTCTTCAATTCATCTGTTCCTTCTATAACTGCTTCCATGACTTCTATCATAAAAGCTTAAGGTTTACAAATGCCAATGTTAGACACTTGTATTTGTAGTAGATAGAGCTCAGTAATTTCAAATTCTAGTTTTTATTCCCAACTGATGAATAATTTTGCTCACAGCCTTGCTCCAAAAGCTGGTAAAAGAGATCACCAAGAAGCAAAATAGAAGTATCAAAACAGGACCAAGAGAGTAGTGTCAATTGCCATTACATCTTACATAGCTCATATTCTTCATGTTTTCCACTAATTTCTCTTGTCATCATAGAAAGAGTATACCAAGAATCTGGAAATTGTCACTTCCATAAAGATAAAAATAATCATCATTACAGATTTTTGATAGAGCAATAAGTAAAACTTAGACATGTTCTACTTCTCTGCAAAAAAATAAGCACTGATCACTAAAATCCAGCATAAAATTCTTCTCTTTCTTTGATTCAATTTAGAGATTTTTTGTGTTCCCAACACATTGTGCAAAGAGCTAATTCACAAACTTCTCGGAAAACAAATTATACATGGGAAGAAGTTGGAAAATAAGTTAGTTGATGTGGTTATAATCTATTAAAGTCCTCAGCGAACATCCAAAAGAAGTTAGACCAAAATGCTCATATATGATCCAAAGGGCTTGATCAAGATGTTCTGTGCTAGTTGAAAGTTGAAACTGCAGTACCTTTTCTTAACAAATGAATTCTAATTTCAGAGCTTGCAGCCAACATGCTACTCATATATACAGGTGTTGTATCAACTCAAATCTTACAAAATAACGCTTTAGAAAATATCAAAATTGTTTTCACTTGTTGGGAAAGAACTTGTCTCTCTTTTCCCAAACATACAAAAGGAAAATAAAAACTCCAGCAGACATAGAAACTGACGCCCAGGGAAATGGTAGGTCCTTGAAACAGACTAGTGATGCTTCCAGCTCTTGAGAAGCATGAGAATGAATGGCATATATGTCATGATTTGATGCTCTCAGGTAATACAAAGTCATTTCAAAGTCAAAGTGTGAGAGTGTTGAAACTGCTTTGTCTAGCTTGTACTTGAACTAGTTCCACCTTTTCGTGAACTCAGTAATGATTATGCTTAAGAAACTCTCTCCCCGCCATGTGCAGAAATGGATTCAAGAACTTCAAGAGCACTAGAAATAATGAAGTTCAGCGATGTCAACAATACATTTCTACTAGCAGCATCCTTCTGTACAAATGACAACGAAGATGTTATCTCCTGTATTCAGGTTAGTCAAAAATACAGAAACAGAATAAAAGATGAAATAGACAGAATGAATTTTAATCCGAGTCCATAAAAACCACTGTGTTTCCTTAAGAAATTTAATCCCCTCACTGTACCCGAGGTTGCAGATTAATTTCTCCCAAGATAAAACGGATTAACCTGTTAAAGAAGTAGCGGTACCTCAAACTTCAATAACTTCAGCGAATGCAAGAACAACAACAAGAGCACACACAGACTCAGTCGATCGATAATTTTATTTATGAGAGAAAATGTATGCAGAGAGGAAAAAAATTTCAGTGTTCGAAAAAACGAAAAAGACCTCTTATTTATAGCCATTTGCAACAAGGAACGCGTCTGTTCAGAAAAATCTGTTCAGACCCGTTTTTTCCAGAACATTGTGTCCTTTGGGAAAAGTAACGATTTTTCGAAAGGAAAACCGTTTGGAAGAGTAACGACTTTTCGGAAAGTAACGACTTTTCGGAAGGATTACCGTTACACCTGAATTTCAAATAAATTCAGTAGCGCCAAATTAATTATGTTAGTTAACTAACATTCTGAATTAATTTATAAGAGAAAGGAAATGATTTAACAAGATTGATTAAATAAATTTTTGTCCAAAAATATTATCAATCAATCACATCCAAATCCACATCCAAATCCAAATCCGAAGCCAAATCCGAATTCGAATCCGAATCCGAAGCCGAAGCCGAAGCCGAGGCCGAAGCCGAAGCCGAAGCCGAAGCCGAAGCCGAAGCCGAAGCCGAAGCCGAAGCCGAAGCCGAAGCCGAAGCCGAAGCCGAAGCCGAAGCCGAAGCCGAAGCCGAAGCCGAAGCCGAAGCCGAAGCCGAAGCCGAAGCCGAAGCCGAAGCCGAAGCCGAAGCCGAAGCCGAAGCCGAAGCCGAAGCCGAAGCCGAAGCCGAAGCCGAAGCCGAAGCCGAAGCCGAAGCCGAAGCCGAAGCCGAAGCCGAAGCCGAAGCCGAAGCCGAAGCCGAAGCCGAAGCCGAAGCCGAAGCCGAAGCCGAAGCCGAAGCCGAAGCCGAAGCCGAAGCCGAAGCCGAAGCCGAAGCCGAAGCCGAAGCCGAAGCCGAAGCCGAAGCCGAAGCCGAAGCCGAAGCCGAAGCCGAAGCCGAAGCCGAAGCCGAAGCCGAAGCCGAAGCCGAAGCCGAAGCCGAAGCCGAAGCCGAAGCCGAAGCCGAAGCCGAAGCCGAAGCCGAAGCCGAAGCCGAAGCCGAAGCCGAAGCCGAAG